CCCGACCCGCGACAAACCCGGGACCATGACAAGACCCTCCCCACCACCCTCTGCAGCATTTTCTGGTTTTTTATATTGTATATACATATATATATGCATAAAGTAAACATTATATACATATATATATAAGCAAAAACCAAAACAAAACAACAACCAAAAAAATATTAAAAATAAATAATAAAAAAAAAAAAAAAAAAAAAAAAAAAAAAAAAAAAAAAAAAAAAAAAAAAAAAAAAAAAAAAAAAAAAAAAAAAAAAAAAAAAAAAAACTTTGCACCAGAATCTGGATCACGCGCGGACGCCCCGCGATCACTTTGCATTGGCTTTGGACATGGACGGCGCGGATGCGGGCGCGTCCCCTGCTCTGTGCAATGCCAACGCTCCCCCCCACCGTCCCTGCCAAAAACACCTTGCGGCAAAATCTTAAGTCATGCTCGGGGGCCCCGCGAGCACCTCGTCTTGCTGAGGACAAGGGAGGCAGGGGCGCCAGCATCTGGCCTGCTGCGCGCAGGGCCGCCACCCCTGTCAAAACAATACAAATTGGACTTAGCGGCTACGTCTGGATCGTGCGCGGGCATCCCGCGATCAATTCGCATTGGTTTTTGTTCAGGGACAGCTGGGGTGCTGGCATATTGCCTGCTCTGTCTACTGACCTACAAGACATCATGATGGCCACACCGCCGCGCTTGTTCACTGGTTGTCGACAAGGATGGTGGAGGCCGAGATGGCTCCCGATGTGCGCGGGCGCACCTGGCACACTCTGCGCGTGCCCCGAACGTGGCGCACCTAACGCGGCTGGAACATCCGGCACACTTGGCGTACGTGGAGCAGGCGGCAGATCTGGTGCAGGCGCACCATGCGTGCAGGGCACGTTTGTGCCTCAGGGGCGCCTGGCGCACCTGGTGCGCGTGGCGCGCCTGGCACGCGTGATGCGCCTGGCACGCGCAGTGCACCTCGCCCCAGCGTCGCGCACCTGGGATCTATGTTTGTTCCCATGAGTTGTCCATCCAAAGTGAAACGCTGAATATCGTGAGACCCGGGCACTACTTATGTGTTGAGAGGGCGGGTGGGAGTGAGCCAAACAGTTTGCGTTTGGGAGAATTGTCTTGCCCCCTCCCCCTACCCGCTCCCCTGAACCTGGACGCGGGGACGGGGGGCGCAAGCGGTCAGAGCGTCCAAGATGGCCTCAGCGAGAAAACAAAAATCAGTTATGTTCCGTATGGTTTTGGGCCACTGTTGGCCTTTTGGGGGGGGCAAGGCTAATTAAGGACCCCCCCATCTTTGGTCGAACTCCGCCAAGATGTCCCCAAGATGGCTCCCAAGGCTCCCAAGATGGCCCCAAAGATGGACCCGACCCCATCTACTCGGACCCCACTTGGGAGACCTACGGTCGGGAACTTTTGCTTAGCGTGTCGCCACAGCGGACCCGGCGACACGCTATGCCGTGCAAGTGGACAGCGTGCCGCGCCGAGGCGCGGTGAGCCAGCACCGGCGGCGCGGCACGCGATCCAAAAGTTCCCGACCGCATGTGATTCACGACGCGAGCATGCCTGGCCTCCCGCCTGCTGGGAAGGCTCCCAAGCCCTCTCCGTAATCACTTTTCCCGTCGCGGCGCGGCAAAGGCGATCCGCTCGCGCGTCCAAGCAATCCGGGCTACGGCATTGCGAATTGTCCCACATGCAAAGGAAGAGGAAAAGAAGAGAGACGGCCGCGCAGTCACAAGAAACTTCCCGGAAGGCGCGACGGCTTCTGAGAAGCCCCGCCGCCTTCTGAAAAGGCCCGCCCCCTTCTCACTTCCTCCCTCGGCGCACCACCGACTTATCTGGGGGGAGGGGGAGGAGGAAGGGGAGGAGGAGGACGAGGACGAGGACGAGGAGGAGAAGGACGAGGAGGAGGAGAATCACGTTAGCGATAGTCCCCCCCGCCCGTCCACTGCCAGAGTGGGCCTGCGCCAGATGGCGCTCGAGGCGGTGGCGCCCCCTGCATATGTTGATGCCTCTGCTGCTATGCCTGCCCGAGAGCAAGCCGGAGGGCCCCCGCCTGCAGCCACAGCGCGACCAGGACTGCACGGGTAGTGGGTCTCGAGCGTCGCCCGCCTAGCGCCGCACAATCGGCGGCCAGCCACGACCACCCTGCCACAGCCCTGTGTAGCAGTGGCACAAAGGCAGCGTTCGGCCCTGTTCGTTTCCACCAAGCGCGAAGGGTCCCGCGCCGTCGGTGGCATCGCGACCTGCTGCCGACTGAATGGTCTCATCCCGCGGCCTCTCGCCCGCCTAGCGCCACACTCGGCGGCCAGCCACGAAACCTTCTACAGCCCAGTGTATATACACGCTCCGGCAGAGGCGTGGGCGTCGACCGCTGACTCAAGATCACAGTCGAACCTCCTCTGCAGCACTGTCCTCCACTAGACACAATACAAACGGACGAGGGGCGCGAAAGAGGATACGGGACGGACGGACCTGAGCAGCAGCAGCTGACTAACTATCAAGGCCCCACTCTCT